CCAGGCAACTTGAAAGTCATGACATCTCCTACATCAGGAGAAGCAAGCTGAAGTTGAAGGGGTAGGTGGGCAAGATAGAAGTCCTAAGGTACAGAGGAGTTGGCCCATGATACCAAGAACGAATGTGTGGAAAGGAGATTGCTCAGGGCAGTGAGAATGGGGCAATGTGGATCTAGCCCTAAAATTGTCATCTGGGCAGCCTTGGATTAAGTTGTCACGGGGGCATTTGAGGCCATGGTCACTGAGGACCCACAGACCCCAGATTTTCACCACCATATTTCCAATGAGTGGAGGAGGGGACTGACTCTCTCCTGTCTTCTTTCCCGGGTCAGCAGCATCAGGTCTGAACACACCCCACACTTCCCTCCTCTCTCCCCAGCTGGGCATTACTGATGGGAGCAGAAAAGTGAACACTGTCCTCAGTGAAATTCAGAATCTTGGCCACGATGACGAAGTACTTCTTGAAAGGAGGGCTCAGCTCCTTGGTTCTCCCTGTGGCCAAGATTGCCAGTGAATGTCCAACAGAAAGATATTTCATATTTAAAATTTTTGTTTTCTTTTTGACAGGGTCTTGCTATGTAGTTCACACTGGACTTAAACTTGCAATTCTTCTGCCTCAGCCTCCCAACTGCTGGGATGACAGGCATGCACTCTGTACTTAGCTTACTCCATAAACTCTGTTGAATGAGTGAATGAGGTCTCAGACCTCTTTCCCACGACTGTCTGTGGCATGACCTCTTCCCTGAAGGTCTTCAAACTGGAGAAGCCTTTGAGGTCTTGGGAGAAAGGGATCCCTCCCTAAAGGATGACCAAGAGCCAGGTCCTTGGGGGTAGTGAGGGAGGACTCACAATAGGGGTTGACCTTGAAGTAATCCATGTCTCCAAGAGTCTCCTTGAAGAACACCATGGCATACTGACGGTAGTTAGTGATCACGACTTTCATGATGTAGCTCCCTGTTCCATTGTAAACTGAAATGTGGACAGTGAAGTTCATCCCTGCCTTGCCAGGGATGGAGAGACTGTCTGCTTCTGCTATGATCAGTAAACAGGAGCTTCTCCCCACAGAACAGCTATGTGGAGGGATGGGAGGGCTGTGCTCTTCTGGAGGACTCTGCCCCTAAGTCTCAACCTCAGGTCCCCCTTCACTCTGGACTCACCTATTGTATTGTTCATGGTGAACTGGCCAGGATCCACACTCAGGACAAGATTTCCAATCAAGTGCTCACAGGCATCACCACTGTGGGAGAGAGAGATGGTAGATGCTGAGCAGGGAGATGACACAACTTCAACTCCCTGAGCCAGACAAAGAGGACCTAGGGCTTCAGCAGATTTCTGAGGCCCCCATCCAAGCCCAAGAAAACCTGTCCAGCACTCTGGCAGGGCTCTGCCAACCCTGCCCATGGTCCTTTCCCTATGAATCTGTGCCTGGTCTGCTGTGGGTGCCACCTGACCCTCCCTCCAGCACTCACTGTGTCCTCCACTTCCTCCCCAGGGCAGCCTGTCCCACACATAGACCCCAGGTAATGAGCCCTGCTCTTATCTTGCTTCTTGCCCTTCTCATGTCTCCTGGCAATTTCCTCTGAGGTTCCAGTCTGCTCCATGCCAAGCACTGCCCTAGCCCTTGGGCCTCACCTTCTCTAAGTCTGTTCCACCCCTGCACCCCTGCACCCATGCTCCCCAAACCTGCCATCCTTCAGCCTTTCAATCTTCAACTACTCCAACTCCAATTGACCCGGTGGCCAGAGCCACCTCCATGGCTATAGCTGCCCCCAACCCAGATCTTGGCCCTTGCAAGACCCCAGATCAGAGCATGGCTTGGAGTGAGATGTCCCATGGAACTGGCCTAGAGTGCTCCCTCTCAGGTGCTCATCAGGCCCTCCTCAGGCACCCAAGCTGCTGGTTGGATGATTTTCTGCCTCCTAAGGGAAGGCTTTCTGACCCAGAATCCCCTGGCCCCTCCTGAGACCCCCATACCTCTTTTCTTTCTGGTGATGGTTTTAGGGAGATTCAACATAGGAACTTTGCATTTAACTGCATCTCCAGTCCTTTTTAATTTTGAAGCAGAATATGGCCAAGTTGTCCATGCTATCTTCAAATTGTGATTCTCTTGCTCCAGCCTCCAGGGCTGACCTGATAAGATTACAGGCTCCCTATGGTTACTTCCCTACAAACTCTAGATGGAGGCTTTGGGTGGGGTCCTGGGGGAATCTAGTGTCCCTAGTCCTCCTCTCAGTCTTATTTCTGCGGCCTGTGTGTGTTTGTGCTGGAACCACCCATGCATGGAGATGGTAGTGAGGGAGGAAGATTGACTGGGGATTGAGTGATGAGATGAATGACTGCATTCCTTAGCCTTGGTCACCTATGAGCACATAGAGCCTATGTGCTTTTGTCCCACAGTTTAATCATTCAGTTTTATCATTGACTCCTATGAGCAGTGAATGATTAAAATGTGGGACAAAAGCACACAAACAAACTGCAGCCAAAAAGCACATAGGCTCTGCGAGGAGAGAATGATGAAACTATGGGGCAAAAGCACACAGGCTGTGTGAAAATTGAATGATTAAATAACAAGAAGTTTGATTAGTAAAGAATGTTGTGTCTGGCCATGTCCTTCCCCTTTGCCCAGGAGAAACTGCCTAGCCCTGAGACAGCTCTGTGCCCAAACTGAATGTTCTCCTACTTTTTTCTCTAATACTGAGATTCTAAATAAAATCTAGAGAGTTCTTGACTTGGGAGCTTTTTCTTCTCTCAGAGTCTCCCTAATGGCTGGGTGCTCTCCAGTGAGCAATAGCCCTTAAGTCCTCTCAGTGGATTAAAGGAAATTTTGTCTCTGAGCAGTCTTTTTCATTCTCCATGGTGCCTGCTGTCACTCACTGCGACAGAGCCACAAGCCCAGGAAGCTGAAGGAGACAAAGTCCAACCTCGGAGCTTGTGGAGAGAGAAAGGCCCTGCCCACATCTTGATTTCTGCATAAAAGGAATTTCAGATTTTGGGCTTCTGGCATTTGGAAGGTATGGTTTTGAGCCACTAGTGTGCAACAATGTGTTGTAGTAATTTCATGATTTGGAGACTCAGTGATCCAGATTGCAGGGGATGTTGATGGTAGGAAAAGCACCATGAGGAAGGCTGCCCTTGAGAGGACAAGGGTGTGGCTGCAGGGGACCTGTGGCTGTGGGGAGGAGGTGCTCCAAGGCAGGAGGTCTTCAATGAGTGGAGAGGAGGTGATCTGAATCAGGGGAGCAGTATGGGAGGACATAGCATGGAGCAGGGGGACTCAGCACACCCGGGAGGAGGTGAACCAGGAAGGGAGGGGCACCGGGGATGTAAATAGAGAGAGAGAAGCCAAGAGTGACTCAAGTCCCAGAAGACACATGCTGAGATCCTGAAGAGGGACAGTTGGGGCTGCAGGGACCCTGGGCAGGACAATGCTCACCTGAGGGACTCAGGTCCCATCTTGTACTCTGTGACTTCTGTCCTGCCTGCTCATCACATCACCACAGAGCATGCCACCCATGAGAAGTGATGCTGAGAGTCATGGAAAGGGAGCAGGGGATGAGAGTCCCTTCAGCACAAGGTCTGGGTCCACAAGTCCTGCACCAGTGCCTGGGGGTTTCTGTGAGGGGCAGGATCTGGCCTAGTATGCTCAGAATGTCCACTGTCAGCTGCCCCATCTGCCCCAACCTTTACAAGAACAAGGAAGCTGCACAGGGCCTGTTAGAGCAGAGCACTCTGTGCCTCTGCATTATTTTTAATTCTTCTATTCAGCAGACATCCCTGCCCAGTACTAGCAGGATACAAGTGGCCCCTGCCTCTTGCTTTCCATGATTTGGCTATGTTGTTTTATATGAGGAGTCAGACTGGAGCTCTGTGTGACTCAAAGGGGCATGAAAGATGGTGGACTGGGCAAGTCTAGCTCCTTCCCACTGGTAGCCCCAGAGACCTAAGAACTGATCTGTGAAGTGGCAGGGCTCTGCTGAGTTACGTGCAGCTGAGGTGAGCGCGACCCCAGTTAAAAGCCTTTCCCCTGAATTATGGCTTCTCACTGACCTGATGGGTTGCTTGCTTTGCACCCAGTCCCAGTATACCTGTTTGTTCTAGCCAAGCAAGATAAGGAGTGCTTCCTCCCTTGTGGCCCTGCCTGGCGCCATCATGCCAGGTGTTCAGCAGTATCACTAGATGCCTTCAAAGCATACCCAGCTCCCTAGTCCTTCCCATGGTTATTCTCAATAAATACTAGATGAGCTTGGGGGCCTTTGTTTTTGTTGCTTAAAGCAGCACTGATCAGTCCCAAGAACCAGCTTTTTTCTAGGTCTCATTTCCTGTCTTTATTGTCTAATTAGCCTTATGCTCTCATGGCTCACAGGAGACCAGGATCCACTGCAGGGGTTCTGGTAACGTCCCTGCTCCCATTCCCTATACTTCTTTGTTTTTTTTTGTACTGGGGATCAAACTTGGGACCTTGCACTTGTGACTCAGGAAGTGGCACCACTGAGCTAAATCCCTGGCCCTCCATTCCCTGTACTTCTACTTCTTCTTTTTTTTTTCTGCAGACAGGGTCTCACTCAGTAGTTCAGGCTGGACTTAAACTAGTGTGTAGCCCAGTCTGGCCTCAAACATGTCTTCTGCCTCAGACTCCTAATGCAGGGATTACAGTCTTGTACTACCATGCCCGGTGCATTCTTTGCTCTTTGCATGTATAGCAAAGACACCTCACCATGTACATTGTGCTCAGAGGGACAGAGATGATGGTTTGTCCAGACCTGAGCTGCTCACCCGGAGACAATCAGAGGAAGGGAAAAGGCTCTCAGAGAGAGCTCTTGTCCCTCTCACAGTTGGGGCACTGCAAATATCTGTCTTATCACCTATCTCCTCCTCCTCTCTCTACCTTGCATAATCCTGACCCGGGGGCAAAGGTGCAGATATCTTGCCACATGTTTCTGAAGGAATTGCTGGCAATTGAGTAACCTTTCCTGGATTTAGCAAAGGATGAATCAACACACCATAGAGGAGGCTGCACCAAGGTGGCCTATAAATAGTTTCCCCTGGCTGCCCCACTCAGTACTCATCTTCCCCCTTCCATACCTCCAAGGTTCAGCAGCTGCTCTGAAGTGATGGCCCTGGGACTCCTGTGTCTGGGACTCAACCTGCTGGGGGACTTGCAGACACAAGCCCAGGAGGACATCACCCTGACCCTGAACATGGGACCAAATCTGAATGAGGCTCCCCTACAGTAGGCAGGCTTCCAGGAAGACCAGGTAAGGACTCTGGAAGGGGCACTGTAGGGAGGGGATTGGGGACAGGGATGGTGGGGGTAGAGGGAAGAAGAGGCCAAGGGACTCAGGGGCAGTGTTGAGTAGGAGGAGCAGGACTCAGGGAGACCATAGCTGGTACATGCCATCTTCAGTCTCTCTCTAGACAGGAAAACTCAGACTCCACAAGGCCCATCAGCCACTTGCCTAGGGTCAATTCATTGTGACAGTTCAGGGCTAAATGGTCATCAAGAGTCCATCCTGGCACTGGATGGTCCCAGCTCCTGCCTGATTCTCATTGTAGGCCCATCCTGGGCCCTGCTGCCCAGAGGTCCCAGCAGGAACAGCATGAGAGGGGTGACTCTGGGGCCATTCCAGGGCTCTGCCTGTCATCACTGTCTTCCAGTTCCAGGGGAAGTGGTACATGGTAGGTTGGCAGAGAATACAAGTCAGAATGGAAAAGCCAAAGACAGTTACAAAAAGTACAGCATCATCTATGAGCTCAAAGATGACCACAGCTACAACGTTGCCACCACACTGCTCAGGAAAAGCACCTATTGCCTGGGGATCTGAGAGGCAGAGCAATGTCATAGCCAAGGAGTGACCAAGACTGAGGAATGCTGTCATTCCTCTCTCCTCTCTTCTTACTCACTACCGACAGCACAAACACACACAGGCAGTAGAAACATGACAAAGGAAGGCATCCAAGAGCTAGAGGAGCATACTGGACCCAACCTGGGATCCCACCCAAGCCCTCCATCTAGGGATTGTAGGGAAGTGACCTTAAAGGATCCAGCCTCCCTGTGATCCTAACATGCTCAGTTTAGGAGGCTAAGACAGGAGGACCACAAATTTGAAGCCAGCATGGGTAACTTGGTGAGACCCTGTCTCAAAATTAAAAACCTAAAAAGTGCTGGGGATGCAGCTAAGGGCAAAGGTCCTGGGATCAATCCCCACTACAACCACTACCACCAGAAAAAAGGAGGCACGGGGATCTCAGCAGAGGTTGGAGTACTCTGAGTCAGAGAGCCTCACCCTAGGAAGCTGCAAAGCAGCCAGGCATCAGCATGGCCACCTGAGTAGAGGCTGATGAACAGCCTGGAGGGGAGTGCTCCCAGGCCAGTCTCAGGGGCATCTCACCCTGAGTCAGTGTTGGCCTGGGGCTCCCGCAAGGGCTAGGATCAGGGCTCAGATTCCAGAGGGGAGGTGGGGGGACAATCATGAAGATGAGGCTGGAAAGTCCTACGCAGGAGATGTCAGAGGTGGGGCAGATGAGGACTCAAAGAAGGGAAAGCCAGGACTCATCCTCCTTCAGTGTGTTCTGGCTCTGGCCCCTGGATGGATTGGAGTTGGAGCTTTTGAAGATCAAGGGGCACAAGGAAGGCAGAATTGGGAGCCTTGGCACTGGAGTGCAGGAGTTGGGCACATATAGAGAGGTCAATTGTGGCCCAAGGGCTAGAGAAGAGATTGGCTTGGAATCTACGGGACGCTCAGAGGAAATTGCAGAAGAGATGGAAAAGGGGAGCAGCAAGATAAGAGCAGGGCTCAGTGCCTGGGGTCTGTGTGTGGGACAGGCTGCTCTGGGGAGGCAGCAGAGGGGACAGTGAATGCTGAGGGGAGGGTCAAGCAGCGCCACAGCAGACCAGGAAGAGGCTCAGAGAGGAAGGCCAAGGCCATGAAGCAGGCCAGGTTGGGTCTCCACCATAGTGGCTTCAGATTGGGGCCTCAGAATCCTGCTGCAGCATTGGCACACTTCATGCAGCCCAGGCCTTTGTCTACTCTTTCCTCAAACCTTATCCCTCTCTCCCTCCCATAGTGGCAAGGTCTGGGATCACTGCATCAGAACTGTTGTTCCAAATGACCAGCCCGGCCAGTTCACCCTGGGCAACATGCCACATGAGTCCTGAGTGAGGAGGGCCCTGGAGCTGGGATTTGGGGGGTAGAGTCCTCCCAGAAGGGCAGACCTCTCTACTTTTCCACACACATGCAGTTCTGTGAGAAGAAGGTCCTGTTGACCAGTCTTGGAGGATGGGGACAGTCCCTTCAACCAGGCCAGGGCAAAGATGATGCTCACCATCCACACTACAGGGTACATCGGAGTTCAGAGCTACACCATGAAAGTGGCAGCCACCAACTACAATGAATTTGCTTTGATGTTCTTCCAGAAGGTGTTCAAGTACAGAATGTACTTCAAGGCCACTATTTTCTTTTTCCATTAAGTTTATTGGTACATTTTAGGTATACAATGCAGTTACATTCATCATTGGGAACTTGTACCTTTATATGATTTAACTTGATTCTTATTTTTCCCCCTTCCCCTGCCCTCCCTTCACACCCTCCACCCCTCCCT